TATTATTACCAAAACTTAGAACCTCAGCAATTTTCAATAATATTAAACAGTTCCTTGATATTTTATTAGTAATCAAAGATTTAATGCAATTTTTGTTAAAACTGTAAATTTTGAGATACTATAGTTTTCGTTAGGAGAGTCGATTTGTAGACGGTTTTGGTTAATTTTTGGCTTTTTTAACGAAATTTTACGGAATAATTGTGTTTTTAGCTGAAAAACGTCCGAAAAAAGCAAATGTAAATTGTCATTTTCGACCTGTTTAGTAAAATCTTGTAAAAACAAATAGAACTAGTTTTAACCACTTTATAAATATTTCGATTTTTTTGAGAAAAATTGGCAAAATAATCAAACTTCTGGTTGAAAAATGTGGACAAAGCTCGAAAAAATTGCAAAAATAGTATCATTTATTTTTTACCTAGTTTACAATACAGGTTGTCCGAACTCGCGCCCCAGAGAAAAATTTCAAGTAAGATAAGATACCAGAAACATGAAAAAATGTTTAAAAAAATCTATTTAATCATACTGATGATCTTGTATATGGTTTTTAATAATTATTTAGTAAAGCTACAAAAATTTTGCCAATAAAAGCCACAAATAACATTAAACAGAGTTACAATTCAGGATGCAGCTTTTTTTTATATCAAAAAACTAGGAAAATTATTTTTCCAACAGAAATAAATAGTCAAAGTGCAAAATTTAAACTCTCATAACTTCATAATTTTTATAGGTTGAATTTTTTTTAACATTTTTTACATGTTCCTGGTATCTTACCTTACAAGAGGATTTTTTTTCTATTTTTCATTTAACACCAAATCTGCAAAGGAAAAACATTTTTTGCTTCACCTGAAACGATAAAATCTCTAATTAAAACTTTATTATTCTGATTCAGAGAAAAGAAAAGTTAATTTTTCTCTTGATTTTGGACTGGAATAATTTTTCTCTGCTTTTTAAGCCAAAAAAATAATAAAACCGCAAATGTGATGGGATTTAAAAAGCAGAGAAAAGTCATTCTTAGAAGTCCAATCAGTCGAAAATCAAGAGAAAAATTAACTTTGCTTTTCACTGACTTAGAGTTTTAATTACAGATTTGCTCATTTCAGGTAAAGTAAAATCAAAGATTTTTTTTTTCTCTTGTAAACTCAATGCAGGGACATACTGTACATATTAAAGTCTCTAGGCAAATCAAATCTAGTGATCTACTCTGGTTCTCAGTCGAACAAGATTTTGACAAAAATCGAAAAAATTGAAAATCTCTGGATTGATCCAAATAACAGTTTTTAGGAATTTGGAAACGAATAGTTCGCAAGCAGGAAGCTAGAAAAAGGTCCCGTTAAAATGTAGACGCAATTTGTAATGCAGGTTTGCTTAAACATTCTCAATTTTTAGCAAGAAATTAACAAGAACACAAAACAAACAGAAATGAGAAAGAACCTCGGAAAGAACGCAATTAAATTAGTGTATTGTGCATCGTTTTTGAGGAACGAGTTGAAAAAGTAACAATTTTGAAACTAAAGCTGAAGAAAATTTATAAAATGCATCAACTTTGAGCTCATTTCAATAAATTACACAAAATTTATTGCCAATCATCATAATACCTACTTGTATCTTTTGCTCTTGCGGTGTGTTTCTATCAAAATTATTAGCGCTGAATTCTGTCTTTGGACCTTAGGTCATGATGTCTGTCCTCAGGTATTCAATTACAGCGCTTTCAAAGAGTAAACAGGCACACCAGATTCATAAAAGTAAAAATTTTGACAACATCTCAATTTGAAAACATAACCATAATTTTTTAATAAAATTTCTAGGGAGAAAAACAAAGAGCAATGCAATTTGCATTAAAAAAACAGACTTTAAATGCGCCTCAGTTGGGATTAGAGTCCCATTGATCACAATTATTAAGACCTGACAACGCGTGGTATTGATCAAATTTTCTCTAAGAAACCCAGTAAACAAAAACCTGACGTAAATGACAAATTCACTCATTTCTGGGTTACTTTTTAAATGAACAAACAATAAAGCACAATGGCAGTGGGATCAGTTAAACCATTATCTCTCCCTACACCATTTAGGCCCCACGACTACGCTTACGGTTTGTATAAAACTAAACTTAACACATAAACAACACCAATCTTCAGATCCCTTATTCGTGGTCTCTGGTCCCAAAGATCACTACAAAGCTGCATTATTGGCAAAACTATCTACTGCAAAATTTGTAAGTACCTAAACTCGCTTAAGACTTAAAATCCTTAAAAAAAATTGTAGCAAATATGTCCAATTTTTGCAAACATGTTCTCGGATTTGCCAAACCACCCTCGCAAACAATACATCCGACGCAAATCTGCCCACTTACCCCCTAGTGGTAGAAGTTACAAGTCGAGACTTCAACCAAACCTTGATCAACTGTATTCAAAAAAACCGGATGTGATTGGTGCAGATCGAGCCAAATATTTCCACTTCCCCAAAACTAGCATTGGAGGGGATTTAGTTCCCGAACTGCAGCTCCATTATACAACACCTAGGGATAAATCTCCTTCCGTTGTTAAAGTGGAACCGAAGAATCAAAATAAGAAAATTCAGACGGAGTTTAGGGAATCCTCGGTTCAAACTTCTCCTTGGGAACCCTCATTTGTGTTCAAGGGGGATACTCCGCCCGAATTGTTAAAACTTGATTTTCTTAAATGGGGTATAGCTGTTTTAAATATTTAGAAAAAATAAAAAATTTTGAAGACAGGTAGTGGTTTGCCCCCTGGCATGCACGAGGTGCAACTCCTGGAGAGAGCTAGAATGAAGAGAGCTTGGGAAGAAAGGTGCGAAGTTAGAACTGCTGAAGACTTGGAGAAAAGGAGGACTATTATAGCAGCTATGGAACGAGACGAGTGGGCTTTCAGAGAACAAGCAAGTGTTGATTGATTTTTCATCACTGGTTCATAAATCAAACTCTCTTATAGGAAATACAAGATATTCAAGATCTCAGACTAAAACTTTTAGAAAAAATGTTAAATGAGCTTCACGAAAAGTCAAAAAACAGAAGTGAGGCCAAATTGAGAATGTTTGCCGAGATGAAATATGCTGAGAAAGAACAAAAATTGAAGAAATTGCGTGACAAAACAAAACGAGGTATTGGATATGAAAATGACTATTTTATACATAAAAACTCATAAACGGTTCATATTTCATAAAAATGGCTCTTGGGCAATGTGTTTTTGACCAAAATAAAGCGATTTGGGTTATTTTAAAACAATTTGGCTTTGTTTTAAGCCAAAAACCGTTCTAATGAAAATATTTCAACGAAAAAAATGCGTAAAAAGTCCTTTTTCTGGCGATTTTAAGACAAAAATCGTTGTAAATCAAGGTATTTGAACAAAACAAAGGGTGAAATCGTTGTTTACGGCCAAAACAAAACGATTTGAGCTATTTTTGAACGGTTTAGCCCGGTTTTAAGCCAGAAATTCTTCTGCATCAAAGTCGTATTTCAACAAAAATATTGCATAAATCATCATTTTCGGCAAAAATACGGCTATTTGAGCCATTTCCCAACAATTTAACTTGATTTTAAGCCAAAAATCGTTATAAATCAATGTTGAACAAAAACACGATTAAACCCGTCACACCAAACTGTTTTATTCTCACCTGAAGATGACCACTTTGTGGTTGAAACGCGTTGTGTTTGAAATAAAAGTTTGGTGTGACGGGTTTAATCGTGTTTTTGTTCATCGTTTCCATACCAAGAGAATCCAAGAAGTATAAATCAATTTATTTATTTCAACAAAATAAATGCTTAAATCGCCGTTTTCCGCCAAAATAAAGCGATTTGAGCTATTTAGGAACGATCTGGCCCGATTTTAAGCCAGAAAACATTGTAAATCAATGTATTTGAGTGCTTAAATCGCCGTTTTCAAACAAAATAAACGAATTTTGAGCCCTATATTTGTAGATTGACGTATTCCAAAGAAATGAGTGCTAATATCYTCGTTTTCGGTCAAAATACAACGATTTGAACTATTTTAGAACAATTTGGCTCGGTTTTAAGCGAGAAATCGTTGTCAAAGTCAAAGCATTTCAACGAAAAAAAGTGCATAAATCATAGTTTTKTATGAAAATAAAGCGATTTGAGTTACTTTCAAACGGATCTTTAAAATTTAAAACATATTTTAGTTATGCACAAATAAAAATCCTCATCCTCAAAGAAACACTAAGAAAAAAAGACATCAATAACATTTTTAGATAAAAAATTGAAAACTTTATTGTCTCTTAAAAATTTCTTAGTAAATATCTCTACGACACACACAATATCCCCTATAAAAAATGAGGCTAATTGTATTTCTGTTTGTTACAAGAATATTATCTTTTATTCCAAAGAGGCCTAAAACGTAATTCTAAGAGAATATTTTTTTTAACTGCTAAAAGTTATGAAGTTATGATTCTCCAAGTTATAAGATCCGCCGCTTCTATTTTTTTTCACACTTTATTTTGTACCGCGAATAACTAGTTAAGTACGAAAATTATATTTTATGAAATAATTACTTGAAATATTGAATTACACGTTTAAATATTAAATATACGGAGGTATTTCAACACTCGCGCCCCAGAGAAAAATTCCAAGTTAGATAATATACCAGAAACATGGAAAAAATGTTTAAAAAATTCTATCAAAAAATTTTGACATTAATTTTTTGTTGATATTTTTTATGTCTATTTAATATTACTGATGGAAAATTCTTTTTCCAGCAGAAATAAATAGAGTCAAAGTGCAAAATTGAAACTCCCATAATTTCCAAATTTTTATAGATAATTTTTTTTAAACATTTTTTTTCCATATTCCTGCTATCTTACCTTACATGACATTTTTCTCTGGGGCGCAAGTTCGGAAACACCCTGTATACAGGCTGCGCCAGAACTCGCGCCCCCGAAAAACTGCTATGTAAGGTAAGATACCAGGAACATGGAAAAAATGTTAAAAAACTCGATGTTATGAGGGTTTAAATTTTGCACTTTGTATTTATTTCTGTTGGAAAAATAACTTTCCAAGTTTTTTTGCTACAGGCTGGAAGTGGAAACAAGGAAGCTATATTCTAAATTGGAACTCTGTTTAATGTTATTTGTGGCTTTTATTCACAAAATTTTTGTACTTTTACTAAATAATTATAAAAAGAAACATATACAAGATCATCAGTATCATTAAATAGACATGAAAAAACGTCAAATGTCAAAAAATAAATGTCAAAAATTTTTAACAGATAGAATTTTTTAATCATTTTTTTCATGGTCCTGGTATCTTACTTGAAATTTTTTTCTGGGGCGCGAGTTTTGGCGCATCCTATATACTAAACATTTCTGAAAAAATAAAGAACTTTATTCAAAATTCAACTAAAACAATTTTGTGTTAATCATAAAAAGATTTCTTTCTTAAAATTATAAACATCTTAAATGTTTCAAAAGTTTGAACCTTAATAATCAAAAACAAAAAAAATTGATGAAAAATTATGTTTTGCTTATTAGAGTCCGGAATTCAGTTTTGGTACCCAATTTTAAAACATCATTTATGTATTTTAGAACTGCGAAAGTTAGATTTGAAGCATGCTGGAATTGAACAGAAGTACCACTCTGTTAACATTGTGGAAGAACATGGCAACCACGCCTCCGAGATTTACGGTCCTCTGATGAGGCACGGCGAACATCCGAAACGTTGGCACTTAGTAATCGACGAAGCGCTCACACGCTTTAAAGCTCAATTTGCCGGTATTTTTTTTGTTTTATAACAACAATTGATAAAATTCTTTGTTAGGTGTTGAAGACTTCAACACTTTACCAACATGGCTCAATAGAGCAACGAAAATAAAAGACTGCATGTGTTTGAAAATGAAAGGCACACGTCTGTGCATGAGAGAAACAAAATGGACAGCTCCTGTATTGAAAAAGCTTCATGAGGAGCTTTTAGGTAAAGCTACAGCTACATAAAAACATAAACAATTGATGTTGTCTAGCACTACGAAAGCACGATCTTAAACCTTGCACTTTAATTAAGAAAATTCAAACTCCACCTTCTGCAATTAGCACGCCTGAAGTTGAAGGCATTCCTGACGGCGATGAAGACTTTTACCAAGCAATGGTGTTGATACAATCGATTATAAAAGGACGAGCGGCTCAAATGCATGTCGGTTCATTGACAATTTATTTACTTGAAAAATCCAGCACTTTTTTTAGATATATGAAGGTCGTGAGAGATGTAGAGAGTTAATCCAAGAACTGAAATATTCAAGTGGCCTCTTAGTTGAAGAAAACGTCCAAATACATGACTATAAATTAAAAATAAAATTGCAACAAAGAAATGAACAAATCGCATTAGAAAAAGTAAAAATGATCAAATATTTTGTCACTATTCAATCTTTCCAGCTTTTCAGATTACGAGAAAGTCTGGATGAGCTCCAAAGTAGCGTAGTTGGATCATTGTTAGATTTTCTTAACAAAGAGTTGCGTCGATTACTTGAAGAGCGTCGAGCCCATGCCATTTGTATTCTTCTTGAACGTGAAAGATATGACCGAGAAGCAGCTGAAGCTGGTCGCAGACAAGTCGAATTAAGACGTAGACGTGAACACGATGAAATGTTCAAACAAATTGTCAAAATCCAACAAGAAACTGTTGATTTATATCTTGAGGATATTATCAAGGAAAGTATGGAATTTACGTCTGAAGAAGAAGCGAGAATGTACATCGAAGGTCTGGCGAGGAAAATTGATGAAGAGGCGTATAGAATAAAGGAGGCGTAAGTAATGTGACTTTGAAAATAAATTGGCAACATTCAATGATTGGTTCTGAAATATTAATTTGGCAGCATTGTCTATCAAATTTAAACGTCACAATCAGTGTTGCCAGAAAAAGTTGACAAATTTACTTATTTTTCACCAGATTACAAATCGTTTCAACAGTATCAAAAGTTTACGCTTTTCACATAAAATGAGTGGTTAAAACATAAATGTAATATCCTTTTGTAACAATTTAGTGATTTGTGACTCGGTATGGCAAAATCTCGTGAAAAAACGAAGTTTCCAACTTAAGAATCTGCTTAAATGCTCGAAAAATGCAAAAATAAGTTAATTTTGACTAAAATTGTTGATTTTTGGTTCGTTATAGCTAAATCTTGTGAAAAAAATTTCGGGTGATTTTAGTACTATCGACGTCAAAAAAACTTTACAAAAACGAGCTAAAGAGCATTTTCGATCAAGTTTTATTTTTGTCTTAATTTTGCTTCAAAACCAATTAAGTCGAGTGAAACAAATTAAATGACATCATAATCAGTCCTTTTTGTGATTACTAGACCCATGTGGACAAGATTTTGTAAAATAAATGAGCCTCTCTCTGGTTCAAAAACAAAGTAAATCGAACGAAACAAGTTAAATTACGATTTAATTTTGTAATTTTTTAGCCTGCTTAAACAAAATTTTTCGAATTTTTTGTTTTTATCTCAAAAACGTGCTTAAACACTTGAAAAAGACAAAAATAACATCATTTCGACTCTCCCAACGAAAACTGTAGTAACTCATAAAAATTGGTTTATGATGGCTTATGTAGGGCCCAAAATACAAAAACAATGAGAAAAATTATTTTTGAATAAACAATATTATTACCGAAACTTAGACCCTCAGCAATTTTCAATAATATTAAACAGTTCCTTGATATTTTATTAGTAATCAAAGATGCAATTTTTGTTAAAACTGTAAATTTTGAGATACTATAGTTTTCGTTAGGAGAGTCGATTTGTAAATTGTTTTATTTAATTTTTGGCTTTTTTAACGAAATTTTGCGGAATAATTGTGTTTTTAGCTGAAACACGTCCGAAAAAAGTAAATGTAAATTGTCATTTTCGACCCTGTTTAGTAAAATCTTGTAAAAACAAATAGAATTAGTTTTAACTAATTTATTAATATTTCGATTTTTTTTTGAGAAAAATTGGCACAATAATCCAGCTTCTGGTTGAAAAACGTGGACAAAGCTCGAAAAAAATGCAAAAATAGTATCATTTATTTTTGACCTAATTTACTATACAGGGTGTCCAAACTCGCGTTCAAGTAAGATAAAATACCAAAAACATGAAAAAAATCTATGTGTCAAAAAATGTTGACATTTGTTTTTGACATTTGACATTTTTTTTAATGTCTATTTAATGACTCTGATGATCTTGTATAAGTTTTTTTATAATTATTTTGTAAAAATACAAAAATTTTGCCAGTAAAAGCCACAGATAACATTAAACAGAGTTACAATTTAGGATACAGCTTCCTTGTTTCCTCTTTTAATAGCATGTAGCAAAAAAAATTGGAAAATTATTTTTCCAACAGAAATAAATAAAGTGCAAAATTTAAACTCTCATAACTTCGAAATTTTTATAGATAGATTTTTTTTAACATTTTTTCCATGTTCTTGGGATCGTAATTTACATGGAATTTTTCTCTGGGACGCGAGTTCTGGTGCACCCTGTATTAATAATTGAAAAATTAGTACATTAATTTTTTGTTGTAACCACAGACTTTCAACAGCTTTTTTCATTTCCAAAAAAATCACCTGATACTAAAATTTTTACAAAAATTCTCATCAAACCACCTGACTAGCATGAAAATCGCCAGATTTGGTGAAATTTGACCAGACCTGGCAGCACTACAAGTCTCCTATCTTTATTTTTATTCAATGTTACCAACTAAATTTCAAAATCACAATAAAGTATTATATCAAATATGAAATTTTAGCACAAATATAACCATCAACGACGAAGAAGAAATCGTGGCGGACCTCGTCCACCACTTCGTCGTCCCGGAAGTGCAAAAGCAAATAATCCGTCAGAAAATCCAGAGAAAACAACGCGAAAAATTAAGAGCAGTCCACGACTCTGTTTATTCCGAAATCGAAGAAGTAAACATCATCCAAGTGCCGGAGCAATCAGATCAAACAAGTGATCAAACTGATCAAGAATATAATTTGGTTGGAAGTAGCAAAAAGTTTCGACAACAGTCCATTCCCGGTGGTATTGTTGAAGACAGACACTTTAGTATCATTCATGAAGCGACTCATGACACCACTTCTCACGTCAGTTCTGAAGGGAAACGTCGTCAAAGTGATACAAGTAGCAAAGTTAGTAAAGGTCATCGCACGTCTAAAACTAAGCACGAAGAAGATTCACTTGATCACGAATGAATAAATTTTATTAAATTATTTAAAGTACACAATTAAACTGGTTTATAATCAAGCTTACTCTCTAATTTTTTGTTGTCGGCCACCTTCCTAACTGCCTTCATGAAGTCTTCTTGGATTACGTATTCTCGTTCAGATCGAATGGCAAACAAGCCAGCTTCGGTACATACGTTTCTGAAAAAAATATTTCAAAATCAAGGAAAGCAACAAATTAAAACGAGTGAATAAAATCGTTATTTACTAAAGTCATAGTCATCGAAGTTTGTACAAAATTTTTAAAGCAAACCTTAGCATTTATAATAAATACAGTGTCAGAACTCCCGCCCCAGAGAAAAATTTCAAGTAAGATAACATACTAGGAACATGGAAAAAATGTTTAAAAAGTTCTATCTGTCAAAAAATTTATACATATATTTTTTGACATTTGACTTTTTTCTGCCCATCTAATGGTACTGATAATGTCATATACAGCGTGCTCTAGAACCCGCGCCCCGGAGAAAAATTTCAAGTAAGATAAAATACCAGGAACGTGGATAAAATGTTTAAAAAATTCTACCTGTTAAACAATTTTGACATTTATTTTTTGACATTTGACAGTTTTTATGTCTATTTAATGATACTGATGATCTTGTATATGTTTTTATAATTATTTAGTAAAGGTACAAAATTTTGCCAATAAAAGCTACAAATAACATTAAACAGAGTTCCAATTTAGGATACAGCTTCTTTGTTTCCTCTTCTGTAGCAAAAAAACTTGGAAAATTATTTTTTCAACAGAAATAAATAGTTAAAGTGCAAAATTTAAACTCTCATAACTTCTAAATTTTTATAGATAATTTTTTTTTTAACATTTTTTCCATGTTCCTGGTATCGTACCTTACATGACAATGTTCTCTGAGGCGCGAGTTCTGGCACATCCTGTATAAAACATTTGTAAAAAACATAAAACATTTATAAAAAAAATATTCCGAAAAATAATGTTCTTACTGCAGTATAGCAACTGGATTGATCTGAAAATAATGGAAATTACACCACAATTGACCCACTTAAGGAAATAATCTTCCGGAATTACAGAAAGCTCACAAGATCAGTATTCTTGTTAAAAAATTTTGATTTTTGCAATTTTCAACTGAAATAAATCACTAAATTTGTGGCAGAATTACGAGAATATCATTAGAAAGTGAAAAACTTCACCTGTTGAGCAAGTATAATTTTTATTGTGTATTATGCATGCAACTGTTTATAAACAAAACTGCAATGATATGAAAAAATACTACAAAGTTTTATTTTCTTCCTAGTTATTGTTCTAGTAACAAACTAGAGAAGATTATCCAATTTTTCAAAAAAAATTGTAATCAAGTTCGTGTCGGAATATGTATTATTGATTGCATTTTACAGGCGCAGGCCTCGTAAAATTATGTGAACCACCCTGTATAAAAAATATTGAGAATAACCTTAGAGAGAAATGTTATTGATAAAAAACATTATTTTGAATTTTTTCAATAATGCAGGCTAAGGTGATATAGAAAAATTGATATTGTTATCATCTTTCAAATGATTACAGTAAAAGATTTGTTAGATTTTTAAAAAGTCCTTTTTGCTTTTAAAAACTTAAAAAAAAAATTTACCTTAAGTCAGCACCGTTAAATGTATCAGACAGCTTGACGATAGCTTCATAATCGATTTCCCCATGTTTGGCTATAGGCCCCGCATGAATTTTCAAAATTTCAAGTCGCGCTTGTTCATTAGGAAGTGGGATTTCAATTTTTCGATCCAAACGTCCTGGACGCAACAAAGCTGGATCTAAAGTATCAGGCCTATTTGTAGCCATAATCATTTTGACCTGAAATCAATACATAAATAAACTGAAATAAACTAAAATTGCCCAACATACTTGACCAAGAGAATCAAACCCATCCATTTGATTCAACAACTCCATCAACGTGCGCTGAATTTCACGATCAGCTGAGGTACCCTCAGAAAACCTCCTGCCACCAATCGCATCGATTTCATCCATGAATATAATGCAAGGCTGATGGTCCTTTGCATAATTAAACATTTCTCTAATGAGTCTCGCTGATTCTCCAATGTATTTATCAACGATAGCACTCGAGACAACTTTAAGGAAGTTTGCATCTAATTGTGATGCTACAGCTCGTGCTAGGAGTGTTTTTCCAGTACCGGGAGGGCCGTACAAGAGACAACCTTTAGGGGGGGTTATCCCAACCCTCATGAACAATTCAGGGTTCATGAGGGGCAACTCTATGACTTCACGAAGTTCACGAATTTGCTCGGACAAGCCACCAATTGCAGAATACGTGACATCGCCAGGGTCCTCATGACTCATGTTGTAAACAAGGGGGTCCACCTCTCGGGGCAAATAACGCATTATTGTCAAGGTGGTCATATCAAGAGCAACGCGAGTTCCTGCTTTCAATTTTGTCTTGTCAAGTTGACGACGACAACCAACCACGTAACGGGGGCCATTTGTTGCTTTCACAATAACTAAAACAGTTCTATTAATGGGTTTTCAGACAAAGAAATCCTTACATTTTTCCTCAGTTAACTGTTTCAAGACTTCACCAACGATTTGGCCCATGCTTTGCAGAGCCTTTAGGTCATTTTCAGACTTGTCGTATTGTTTTGTTAAGTCTTTCAGTTGTTCTCTCACTGTTTAATAAATCATTAACTAAATAATTAAACTGAATTGAATGACTTACTCTCTTTCAAACGAGACTCCACTTCTTTGTGTTCCACAAGTTTTTTCCTGTATTCTTGGAGACTTTTCTCACGCTCAGGCTCGGTTTGCGTCATTTTTGATCAATTTTTATTCACAAATTTCAAGTTATTTAACAAAAGGCACAATGACTCGCAGAACCTCACAACACCGCACTTTTGTTTTTGACAGCAAGCAGAGGAATTTTCATTTCCCACTAAACACCCTATCTGAGTTGCCAACCTATCAACAATAAAATAGTTATGTACAAAATTTAAAACTTATAAAAACGGTGTCGGTGTTTTCGTTTCCGTTAGCGTTGGCTACTTCGCACTATAACTAATAATGAATTAACGTAAAGATTTTTGTAAAAATTGTAAGCATTGTGATTGGGCCGTTTAAGGTCGGCCATTATTTTAATGTAAAAAAAACAATCACTTTAGGTTTTTGAGTTCATTGAAAAATTTAATGCATTGTGATTGGTTCGTTTGAGGTCTGCCATTATTGTGGGTAAAGATAATGGAACAAAATTTCAATCTGTTGACTTATAATAATAAATGCAGACCACCCATTAGGTGGTATTAATTTGCCGAGTTACATTATTAATGTTTTACAGTTAATATAAAGCATTCTCATAAAAAAATAATAAAAAAAAATTATCCGAGTTTCAACGAAAAACCCATCGCTTTGTTACAAGAACCAACTTCGCACATTTTTGAAATAAGAGAAGTTCTTTATTGTAGGTACCTGCACAATGTTTATCATTATAATAATAAACGATAATGACAGTTGACGCCCGTCTACCTGTCATTTTTAGTTTTTTTCGCTCTAGTTATTTGTGACATTTTGTTTCTTGTTGGTAATTCAGCTCATGACGTCACAACTTACGTTAACCTGAGTTTGTTTGAGTTAGTCTGTGTTATCTTGCGTTTGGACCGCCAGAATTCGCCTAAAATAATCCCTAATTTAATGTTGTCAGCACTGAACCCTAGAGTCAACGACCCGTTAATCAAAACATAACCTTCAAAAACTGATAATTGTAAGTAAATTCCCGAAATACGTCTCTCCTCACAACATAATGATGACTTTTATAGAAATGGGGACCCCTGGAACAGCCATCGACTCCCTAAACGCCGCCCTGAAATGTAACATAATCCCCAACCAGGAATACCTCCTCCAAGGCTCAGTCCTGGACCAATACGTGGAAGTCCTCCTCCACCGTCTCCGCGGCTTATGCGACAACGTCGACAGCGGCCCTGAATCATTCCACGACCACGAACTATGCTTCACCCTCCGAGCCCCAAACCCCGGTGCCCCCATGGTCCTCCCATTGCGTGTGCGTCGCGCCCTCGACGTTCCCGACGCCCCCTGGCAATTACGCTACGTCGGCCAACAAGAACTTGGCGACAAGAATCGTCCAACAGTCGTCAGATCCAGCATTGACATGGCGTGCAGTTCCACAATCGTTGAGTTTTTAACCGAATTGGGGTGCAGAGTCGATTTTGAATACATAGCACGGGGGTACATGTTCCGCAAAGGCAGGATGAAAATCACAGTTTCGAAAATTTTCAAAATGGGGGGCATGACAAGCAAACCGGGGGAAGGCGTCGAAGCGATTTCGCAGAGCTATTTAGTCGAATTGTCGGTTTTGGCCCCAAGTGGACAAGATGCCATTGCTGAAGACATGAGGATTTTTGCCGAACAGCTGAGACCGTTAGTACAACTCGAAAAAATCGACTATAAAAGACTTGGGAATTTACCATAATTTATTAATTACAATTAGGATTTATGTAACAATGCTTCAAGTTTTTCTAAACTAAGACGCAAGTTTTTGTCATAACCGACCCCTCGCATTCGCTCCACATTTGACAAATGTTGTTTTATTCGCGGAGTTGTGTTTTTCACACTTTGGGGCACCAAACGTGCCAAATGTCCCATCAACTGAAAATAATTGGGGCTATTAAAAGCCAAGTGTTTTTCAGTCAATGACACTATAGTATCCTCAAAGTCGGACTTCACTTTGGGGTACAAAACCGAAGATGTGACACTTTTTATAACATTTATCGCCATATTTCTCTGATTGTGAAACATAACAACCTCAAAAAGCCCATACAGAGTTTTATTTACAACTAATTTTAGTGATTTTTCCGATGTTGTGCTTTGCACAAAATCATTAACTAATTTTAATGATTTAAAAATGTTAGATTCGGGCTCTTTTGAAGGTTGTTTGAAAAACACACTCGATAATTTATCTAAAATTATCTCAGCGTTTGTGTCATTATCGAGACATTTGAGCATTGGAGAGTCAACAATTGCAAAATGGGGCACATATTTTGTAACCAAATCGCGCAAAATTCGGTCCAAAAACGCATCATTAGTGTTTAATTTAACAGTAGCTTCGAAAAACAAATGCCAAGTTTTTTTGACACTTTGCAGTACAAAAGTATGGATAGGTTTCCCCATCATAAGTTCAGTTGGTAACACTGTAGCGGACACAAGACGGGCGTAGGGACAACTCGACTTGTGTTTGTTATACAAAAGGGGCCCAATTTTGTAAAAAGCGAGTCCTATACAAGTATAGATCCTTAAAACAGTTCCTTCGTTATCAGGCTGTGATAAAAACTGGTTAATACAACGGTCAGCCTGCCCGAAAAAATTCTCACACAATTTATGCATCGTGACCGATTGTGAATACTCTTTGTTACCACCGACATATTCAATAAAAGCACACAGGGGGTCCTTGTCTTTCAAGGCAGTTTTAATAAATGGGGGAATCACATCTAACTTGATAATATTCTTCGTGAGTTGTTCATACCCGTCTCGTGTCAAGAGACAAAATTTGACCCAACTTTGCAACGCGACAATTTCCTGAGCCGGTGATAGAAAAAAGTTTGGGTAATTCTCGAGGATGACACAGAGAAAACTTGCGGAAACTTTGGGGGCTATGTTCTCAGCGTTGAAAAACGTGAAAGCCTCGGCGTGTAAGCTAGGACTCAGGGTGACTATTTTCGCCGCTAGAGTACCACAAGTCTCAGGGGCCGTGCGTGAGCCAGCGACGTATTTCAACGTGGGGTAAACGTTGTTTTTGAATGAGGACTCCCATTCGCCCCAAAGTAATTCGTTGCTGATTCGTTCAATCACTCTCAGGAGGAGATTAAGAAGGGTTAGCAAGTCGGGGTAGTAGCAGGTGGTCATGTATTGGTGGATCCAGCTGTTGATGAGGAGCCATTGGTGGAGTTCTAGGTTGGTACTGGTGGTGATTATGGTGTCAAAATCGGAGACAAATGTTTTGATCAAGTGGAAGAATTTTTGATCGGTTGATGCTTCTTCTGACATTTTGATGAATGGTTGGATGATGGTTTCAATGTCGCGGTTTTCACGCACGTGGCGAACCACCTGTTGAAAATTCTGGTAAAATTTCGATTTCAACCATCGGGCATGGGCGCCGACTTTTCATATTTTCAATGGGTGCATAAACAAAAAACTTGATAAATTAATCGTAAGCAAAACAAATAACATACAAATATACTTTCAGATGTTTTGGTATAACTTGCAGGAATTGAGAACAATTACGCGAAAAAACGATCTTCTTCTCTGTTTCTACTGAATTTATGTATTAACAATATAATTTTTCGTATAGTACAAAAAAATCAATAAATAACAGTAAAAAATACAAAAGTGGTGCCCCAAAACTCGCGCCCCAGAGAAAAATTTCAAGTAAGATAAGATACCAGGAACATGAAAAAAATGTTTAAAAAATTCTATCTTTCCAAAAATTTTGTCATTTATTTTTAGACATCTGACATTTTTTCATGTCTATTTAATCACACTGATGACATTGTATATGTTTTTTTTATAATTATTTAATGTTTTTTTTTTATAATTATTTAGTAAAAATACCAATAAAAGTCACAAATAACATTAAACAGAGTTACAGTTTAGGATAGAGCTTCCTTGTATCCTCTTCTAAAATAGCCTGCAGCAAAAAAACTTGGAAAATTATTTTTCCAACAGAAATAATAGAGTTAAAGTGCAAAATATAAACTCTCATAACTTCTAAATTTTTCTAGGTAGAATTTTTTTAACATTTTTTCCATGTTCCTGGTACCCTACCTTACATGACATTTTTCTCTGGAGCGCGAGTTCTAGCGCACCCTGTATACAATAAAAAGTGTAAAGAAAATAGTACATGTTTAAAGTTGCAAAATGCTTCAGATTGTTGAGTTATGAAAAATTGTACCCCCCTGTTAAATAAAAAAAAATCGGAAACAATAAAAAAAATAACTTTTTTAAAAATTTACATGAATGTTCGTAAATCGAGTGCTGAATATAGCTTAGGAGTATCAACTTTAAATTAATGCAATTAATTTGAGAAGAGTAAAATTAGGGTATACAAAAGCTGAATGGTATCAGAAACTTGTAAAAAAAATTCTTAAATTTAAAAAATGTCATTCGAGACTTTTTTAAAATATCGTAGTGCAAAAAACCGTGGGGAAGACTAAAGAAGGGTCTAGAAATACTAGTTTAAACAATATCTAGATTTGCAAAAAAAGAACGTTTAAAAATTTCTTAAGTAGAAATGCTCAAATTTAAAAAAAGTAAAATGAGACTTTACAAAATATTGTGTTACAAAAGACAGTTGGGGAGACTAAGAAACTGTCAGATGTAATATTGTTTCTTAATTTTTTTAATTTTCAAAAATATCAAAATAACTAATTTTCTCTTTTGTTCAAATCAACCTTGAGAGTAAATTTTTTTTTTTAAATCGTAAAAACAACTTGTAGGGAATTTATTCCAGTTATTGAACATAATTGTTCAATATTGAACATAAAAAAGCAAATTGAAGCTAAATGAACAAGCTATCCGGCCCATGCATTGATTTAACTAATAAAAATTTCGTGGTAAAAAAAAACAATAAAACTTTTTTTTCTCGCCCTATTTCTTAGAATTGCGTAATAACCGTAGCTCAGAATTTTTTTTTGTCATAAGATCTCAAGACTAGAAACTTGAAGCTTTAAAGTAGATTTTATAAAATCTAAATACGACCATTTTTCATTGAAATACAATCTTTTAAATCACCAAAAAAAAAATTGTTTCCTTATTTTTTTGGAATAGTATATAAAAAGTTTACGTAGAATTATTTGTCGTTTTAAAGTATTTGAAGTAATAATAATTTTTATTAAGGAGTTTTTCACTGAAAAGCTTAATTTTGAATTAAATGGAAAAACAAAATAGAATAACATAACCGCAGAATTTGATCCATTTTCTCGAAGGAAAAACAGAATAATAGAAAATTTAAGACATGCCAAATATTATTAAGAATTATTGTTATTATTTTTGCATCTGCCCCAGCACCCATGTAGTCGGCGCCCGTGCCATCTTGACTTTGACTTACAAAAGCAGCGTAAAAACTCCAAATTAATTGAGTTTGTTTCTTTTCCTGTGGTAAGTTTTCAATGAATGAAAGGAATTTCTTTGAGAGTTCTTCAAAATTGACTTTGGTCAATGCGAGGTACAAAAGCAAAACGTTGAAAATCCCATTGTTTTGCAAATCCTTTAATTTATTTGGCCCCAATTGGGAGTAAATCCGCCCTTTCATTTTACCCCAATGGTAGGGATGTTCGATTAAATGGGTTGTTAACATTGCCAAAAACAGTTCAAAATCATAATCACAATCTTTCCGTGACCATAATATTGTATCAATCAAGTCGATTAATTGAGTTAAAGTAAAATCAATATTGACTCTTGATGACACATTCAATCTTTTACTAAAATAATCCCATAGAGTTTGATAGATTTCAATTTTTGATGACTTTAGCCATAAATCACACAGAAGGGGTTCCAAAGACTTCAAAACGGGTAAAATTGTGGTGAATTCTCCCCCCGATAGGACTTTTTTCAATGCTGATTCTAATGGTGTGTAATTGGGTTGTTTCAAATTCTTTGCTACATCTTTAAGTAGCCATAAAATACAATCACCGTTGAGATTTTCCACATTTTTGTTAAATATCATCCAGAAAGATCCTTCCAAATGTTTCTCACATAATAGTTGAACAATCAGCCAAAATTTTTGGGTGCAATTACAAACAAAAGCAGAGTTTGTTTTTTGTTTGTGAGCACTTACACTCAATGTTATTAAATCAATAACGACGATATTAATACGGCTTTGCAATTCCTCATTGTTTCCAGAAATATGATCAAATATCAGTAAGTGAAACTGTAGGTCCAAAAATGTGTGAAAGTATTGATATACAGGGCATTTATTCTTATTTCTGGGACTTGTTAATTTTAAATAAATGTCTTGTTCTAATTCAGATATTGGTAATGTTAATTGTGCAATTTTCTTGATATTTACCCATGAAGATGTAAGGTATCTCTCCTTAAGAATATCGCTCTCACAGCACTTTAAACATTCAATTATCAGTCTCAGACACTTGTTGATTTCTTCTCGTAGTTTGATTAAGTCATCTGAAGCTATTGTAATTTCGTTTAAAATCACACTTTGGAGGTAATGCCAATTAGTTTTTACTTTTCTGGTGATAACGTCAACTTGTTCTATAGCAATTTCCAAATTTTCCAAATTTTCACCGTTCACATAATTTGGTAAATCTGTGTAAGTGTGGAAGACTTCTAGTGGGTCTTTTGGTGTTTCGATGCAACAGTCAAAAATATTGTCACTCATCTCACTTAAATAATGCACTTTTTAAAAAAATAAAAAACTTGATAATGTTTGAATTTAGGTTAGAGTGGTTGTAAAAATTGACAATTACTTTCCCGCCAAAGTAGTTGGTATAACAGTTTTCTTGTTTGGTTCAAGTCGTGAGTAACAAAATACTTTGTAGATGGCGCAGCTACCGCAATTTAAATCTTATTTCTTTTAAATGAAAATTAAGAATCTTGAAAACTTGAAAAAATAGCCGTAATAATAACAAGGCGTCTATTTGTTTTTATTTGGAATTAAATCTTTATTTTGGTAAAACTGCATACTTATAATATTTTCGTCAGTAAAAACGCTCATTTACTTCTTTTATTATACATTTCATGTTCTTGCAATGAGTATGGAAATTGCAATTTAATTTTTGAAATCACTAGGAATACATTACATAAATTAATTGAAATTATAGCCAGTGATCAATATCAAAATTGTAATGACAAAAATAATCTATTTGCAGTTTATTATGTTACATCATATTATAATGTGTTCAAATATGCAACAACATATTGTGCTAGAAATACGAGAATGGAAAATTTTAAATGATGATGAAAAAGTTATGACATTTTTTACAGACTGTGCAATTAAATGAATATAATTATTAAATTGTAATCAGTAGTCTGTAATAAAATTAATAAAATCTTTGAACCATTTGGTGCGTTTTATCTCAAAATAACTAATAAATTATCTTGAATAAGTAGATAAACCTTAATTTTGAGAATCAAAAATTATTTTTTCAATGAAATTATTTGGGTTACTTAATCCTTTATAGGACTTTCTGAAATGGACTATTAAGTTTTATTATTTTTAGGTAAGTACTTATTACTAAACATAAATTTAGAAAGAATTAAAATTTCGTAAAAGAATAATGTTTTTAAAACTAAATAAATAAATAAATAGTACATAATGTAATTGTACAAGAATTAAAACAAATTGTTAAAGAAAACTATTTAACTTTTACAGTAATTAAAAATAAACTTTGCTTTCAGTAGTTCAATTTCTGACCTAATAGTTACCTTTTTCGAGCCCCGTCCCGCTTCAGTCGGCTCAATTTACGTATTAAATTATTAAAATGTTTCAGTTTAAACATTATTTTTTCATTATAAATCGAAATAAGTAAAGAATAATATTGTCAAAGGTAAAAATAAAAGAGGTTTTCGAATGTATTTTGAGTTCGAATTAAAAAAATGTAACATCTATCCTAAAAACAAGAAAGAAAATAAAGAAAAAAATACTGATGGAGATCCAATAAAACAAACTATGAACATTTGGTTGTGTTTTAGACTTTTCGAAGACTTTTTAGTCATCCACTCTAATCTACGCAATTTCTTGGTTTTATTTTCTTTGTTAAGTAACGAGTGTTGCCTAACTGGAGGTGAATTTAAAAAGAATGTTTATGAACAAATGTTTCGTTTGTTTAAAGCAAGTAAATAAAATTGCAAAATGTAAATATCTTTACAAATAAATTTGACCGCACTGAATAATTAATTACCCTAGCAAGAAAACAAATATTTAATATCAAATAAAAGTGACAAACCCCTCATAAACCCACAGACAGTGACGCCTATGGAAAATTATTCAGACAGTAGACAGTACGATGTTGATAAAATTACTAACTGGAAGTAACCAGTTTTCGTAAATGAATTCGCTTAAAAATAGTAACTGGTTAGGCTATAATTAAAACACAAAACTATATTGTGAATGAAATCACAAGATTATGTTTATGCAATTGCATGAATCACTAACAAAGATCGCGGAAGAAGATGTAAGATGACCTGCTTACATAGATTCATAAATTTTAATTATCAATTCAATTTAGGTTTTCTTATTGATTTTGTCAATTTTGCATCATTGAAAATTTAGCCTTGTTTTATCTTATCAATCAATCTACAATTGAATAGTCTGTCAAAATTTTAATGATAAAATTGCAACTTAACCTACAATACCTGAAGATAGACATCACTACCTAGTGTCTAAAAACAAAATTAAGTGCTAATAATATTGATAGAAACACACCTCAATTAAGTACAACGTTGTGGGCAAAAATGAGCTTTTTGCTACAAAAATTTTAATGAAAAAGGGTGTCTATACAAAAAAGTTATTTTGCAAAAGATACAAGCAGGTATTATGAAGCTTGGCAATAAATTTTGTGTCATGCTCAAAGTTGATGTTTTAAATACTTCTTAACTTTTAGTTTCAAAATGTAATTTAATTGCATTCTTTCTCATTCACGTTTATTTTAAATTCTCATCAATTTCTTGTTAAAAATTAGAAAATATTTCCAAAAACTCTTAGCAATACCAAATTTGTCTCCGTTTTTGTGTTTTTTTCAAATCAAATATCCAAAAATTCACACATTTATCAACTCAATTTGTGTTTTGCCATTGATTTATCAATTATGAAACATCAGATAGATGAGTATATATCTATAATTTGAGGATTTAGCTTGTTTTATAACGTATCTGTCAATCTACACAAGCAGCACTTTCGTGGATTACCTACTTTTCTAATCATCTAGATGTGTGAGTTTGAGTCATAGTCATTACCCAACAAAATTTCAGACGAAATAATTTACAAGTAAGTACTCAAGAAATAATTACGAAAAACTTGTGATGACACGAAAAATTTAATTTTTCAACAGATGATGCAATAATTCTACATCTAGACATTGGCCTAAGCGCCATGAAATGGGAAGTAACAGTCAAGGCTGCTTTCCGAAGGTGTTAAGAACAAGACCTGGCGTATCCTATTCTGTCTGTTCAAATAATAAATATGTAGATTGAAAAGAGAGGCGAGAGGTGTGGTGAATGTGAGTTTCTTGCATTGAATATTTCAATGAAACAGGGCCGTGTATTTGCACCAATTTTAAACCACACAGTCAAATAATCGCACAATACCTACAAAATCACCCATCATTCATGAAATTTTGAATTAAAAAAAGAAAGGAAAAAACTCAACACTAGGAGAAAATTAAGATACGGTCCTGTTTCACCCAATTGGCGTACATGGGTATAGACTCCAAGTGTTGTATAGCCTACGGTACTTTTTTTATTCGATGTCTGTGGAAATTTCCACGATCGTTTGAGAATTCAGACTCAGTGGCGTACCAGGAATTTAGGTAATTTGCAAATAATATGAGCAATTTATCCGTCCTTGAATCCGTGTGACTAAGTTTCTCAAAAAATATTTTTATGACTTGTAATAAATTTTTTATCAGTGAGTCTGCTTTATCATTTATTAAAACTACCTAGAATTTTTCAAGTACATAATTAAATTGTTGCTTTTTTCTATCCACAAACCAGTCAACTTTCTCTCCAATTTGCATGAAAATATTTCAAAAACAGCTAGATTGCCATCTTGTAGAATGCGGCTAAAGTGTGAGATTTCGGGTCTTCAACCGTTCAAATCTCGTGCGAATTTACCTGCTTTAAAAGTCTCTCTCTCTCATCGAGCGAGGGCACGACTTTATTCATTCAGCATTCAGGAAGGAAAACTTTCCATGCCGACAAGTCGAAACTTGTTTCAGAGGCGCAGCTGTTCTTTCAAATGAATGAATTACGAAAACGTTTGCTTTATGTGCTCCCCATTGTACATAAACCGAAAAAAAATAACTAAAAAAGCATTTTTTCTTGAAGAAAACTTTTCAATTGTACATTTTATGATTAATTATTATTTTAGATAGATGACAAAGGAAAATTTCTTGTGGTTAATGTATCCATATTTGTGACGCCAACATTTTTTACATACAAAATTTGCATGTTAACATTTTGCAAAAAAAGTCATAAATTATCACTTTATCTGTTTGGTCTATAATAAAATCTTATAACTCAAATTCGTCTAAAAAAGTTGCCTTGAATAAGTCTCTAATTATCAAGCCGGCTAGATTTTGTTACATAATTCAATTTAGAACACTCTATATATCATACTCAGAAAAGATCGTTTATTGAAAAAGTGTGAAAATATAAATGATGGATAAAATCCAGTTCATGATCTTCATGGATAATTAAACCAAATAGTTAGTGTTATTTATGTCATGTTTATCATCATTTGAAATGAATTATTATTTGAGGCGCTATCTAGAAACCGCTGCTCAAATTGTAATTTTTACATTCCAGGCCTCACACCTTTTACATTCTCTAAGATCTGATAGCTAACCACAGCTAGTTTGAAAATGTGACGGCAGGTGTAGCATGCCCACATTTACACAACATGAGTAAACTCGATAAAAAAAAAGCAAGAGACATAACAACGGTTGTAATAATGTATTTTGACTTTAAAATAAATAATAACGTATAATTTTAACAATAGCTAGTAAATTTTATAACTTGAATCACCTCTACGGGGCAATAAACATTTTTTAGCTCTTTTACTTGTTAATTACTAGGTTCAGGAAGGCTAAGAACAGAAAAAGCCAATAACAAAAATGTAAATTTTTGAAAAAAGGAAGTAAAGGTTCACTCAATAATTATAAGCACGTGACCTTTTTTATTACATACTTATTATTCATAGCACATGACTAAAAATGTTTTCAAACAATTGAACAACTTAATTTTAGTATCATAAACTATTTTAAAATTTTATTTTTTACACTTGGGCAATGTCTAGAATCTCGAATTTAAATTTTATATAATTTTTTAAAAAAAGTTAGGTTTCTACTCTAAATCTATAAATTAATGTTTCATGATCCGTAAATTGTGTTTTTTAAATTTATTCCAACAGCAGTTGTTTAAATGTTATTAAAACCAGTGTCATAAAACCGAAGACTTTTATTAGTCTAACAAAACTTTCCATTTTTTTAACTTACTTTATTATTTGATACATTAATGCTAATGAATAAATGTATTGCGTTTTCGACTACAATACATAGTTAATAATTGATATAAATAATTGCAGTATTAATGAAAGTCACTAAAAAAGGTAGAGCCCCACTTATTTATTATTTTTTTTAATGAGTACTTAGAATATACAGGTAATCATTTGCCTCCAGAAAATAATAATTAATATAAATTAAAGTAATATAAAAAATGTTATCGTATTTTCAGAACGAAATTTTGTTTTGTTTTTGAGTTATGCGATTTTTTTTGTCAAAATTGCAATTTATGTGAAAAATTTTTTTTGAAAAAATTAAATATAAAGCAGATAGTTGTAATCCTTAGAGTATAGCTTTTATGAGAAAAATGATTTTATAGTGGGTTGCCATTTAAAAAAAATATTTTTTTTGTAGAACTTAAAACAAAAGGAAATTTCGAAAAATTTTATTCTTGTTAAATCATCACATTTTTATAGTACTTTATCACTCATCAATTAGTTTTTTCAAAAAATAAATAGTTTAAGGAAAAAACGTTTGGTTCCATACTTTTGATTCACCTGGTATAATAAATTATAACGTTTAGTAACAAAAGTATATTTTGCGAAATACAGGTTATTGACATCTTTATTTAAAGTACTTGTCTACTAATAGAATATTTTGCCATTGTTTAAAATAATGTACAAGTACATGTGTGGAGTATTCAAGAGTTGATCAATATTTTGTTTTTTTTTTCTGGGTAATTTTAATTTTTTCCAATTTTGGTTTAGAAAAAATAACCACAAGCAATTAATTAATTCCATTCTAATTAAACAAAATTTTAACAATACAAAACTATTCATCCAAGAAATTCAAAAAAGATATTGAAATTTTATTTGGAAATCTTTTTTTTTCATATCACGAAACTCAATTTGTAGTTTTGTATAAAAAATTCAATGCTATTACTATACAAAATAGGTTTGTTAACAATTTTTGAAAAAAAATATTCTATAAAAGATAATACAATATACCTTAATGTTTTACTTGTTTGAACTTGTTTTGGAGCAAAGAATAGGTAGGTGTGAGGAGAGGATAGGTTCGGTTTTGGTTATGGAAATTTGCAGTTTAATTTATGATGGTTTTCACATTATTTTGAATTATCAATTTTTTGTTACAAATAAATAATAACAAATTTGTGTACATTAAGTACAAAAAAAATATAAATATTGGCTTACTAAAATGTTCTATTTACTTCCTTTTTCTGCTTTCTTCTTACTTTAATTATTATTTTTGTTTTGTATTTTTAACCATTTGCATAAATTTGCAAATTCAAACAACAGTGTCAGCACACCTTAGTGTCGTTTACATACGAGTAATTACGTTTATTTTTTGGAGTTTATCGCCTATGAAAAATTAATGTTCAGTTTTTTGCGTCCACTTTATACCTTTTTAAAATAATCATGTCAACAAACAACGTTTAAATGTTTGAAAAATTTCCATTCCGTTTGCACAAATGCAAATGTGCATTAGATTTATAAAAACTTTATAAACCTACAAAATTTCATTTTTTTTTCATTTATTAAGTAATTGTGTTTTGTTTATTATATTTTAGCCTTAATAAATTTACAAACATATCCTAGACAATAAAAAAACATTTAACACGTGTAAATAAATATGAGACATTTGACATTACACAAAAGTACACGATACCCTACACCTTGACTACGCAGATACGAAGTTGAAGTATTTTAATAACATTTTTAATTTCCAATACTTGATCCAGTGGCGTAGTGAACAAGGTTCTCCCATACTACGATATTATAAAAAAGTGTAACAGTCCAGCAAAACAGCTTTGCCTTTTAAATAAAAAATGGTTAAACTTTAACCTACCATAACTATAAATTTAACTGTTCTAAATTTGAACAAGAGACAATCATTTTTCGGGTTATTTGAGATTTTCTATTAATTCTCGAATGATTCAATTAACTAATTTTCAATTATTTTGAGTAAAGAATTACATTTCATAAAACAATGAAACTCATAAAACATCTCTCTTGAAAAAAAGTCATTAGGTATACAATCAAAAAAAGAAAATTACAAAACATTTTAAAACAAAAACAAAAACTTTTTAATTTAATTATTTGTCTAGATTTTAATTTTGCTGACACACTTGTGTCTCTTTGAAGCCTCATTTTTATAAAAAGAATAAATTAAAAAAATTGCTCTGCAAACCCAAAAATGGTCATTTACTGCACTTTTTCGTGTTTCTATTATTGTGAGGCACAGATTCAATGTTAACAACTTCCGACATTAGTTTCCGGATGGTAATGAAAGTGAATTCATTATCATTATTTAAGTTTTTTCTCTCGCGTCATCTAATAAATAAGTACACTTTGCTTTGAGTGTTACAAGGCAATCTTGCAATCACTAAGAGTAAAAATTCAACAATATTTGACATTGTTCGACTCAATTTATGCCACTTCGTGGATTTTGCTGTTAGTGATCACTCCATTTACAGATGCAAGGTGTGTTTATTTTACATCTAACAAAACATTTTTTAGTTTTACTGAAATGGTTTTTAAAGTAATTATTCCACCGCTAATTGCATTAGAATTCGCTAGCAAAAAACCATGACGTTTCAACTTGTCGGATACAACCTTTGGTTCAGTTTTGTTTGTTAATTAGAACGCAATTAATTGTGGTTAAGTTGCACAGAACACGTGTGTGCATCAGCTACCAAAAATTGGGACGAATTTAACTTAAACAGGAATTTAAAATAGAATTTATGACGTAGTGGGGCTACAAACCCGTATCCAAATTATATTTAGCATGTTACCAAAGTTGAAAATAAATGGTTGACTATGCGAATCTCCCAGTGTTAGACTTCTGATTACAACGGTTACCTACTCCTTTTCCGTAAATTTCGTTCCGGTAATAAATTATTACAGAATTATGATGTAAAACAAATCTCATTTTATGTAGTTGATACTTTTCGATAACTTTGCCATAACATGGAACTGAAGGAACTGTCTAAGGTAATAATTGCGTGTTTGATTAACTTTGGCACTAAATTGGATTTTTACAGCTTTGCGACATTTGATAGACTCGTTAAAACTGTGATTTATTTGTTTGTCTGTGCATATTTTTAATATTTTTCCGACTTTTGACAAAAAATAAATTTTTACGCAGATTCTAAAAAACCTGATATTAAGTTTAATTAACACGTTGCTAATTTGATAACAGGTCAGGTGTCATTTACACACGTCACAAACCACGTTATAAACAAGAAAGTGTTAAATGAAGTTAGAGACAATTGAATTAGGTGGTTTTTGATGACGATTTTTTAAATTTAATGCTAATAAAATAAGGAGTTTTTATTTTTGCAGAATGAAAATACTAAAAAGCTCAAATTATGTAATACAGTTGCTTTCAAAATAGACCGTCCACTTCCTAGTGTAAATTCAGAGACCTTGACTGGGTGTAAATATGTCTTTTAGTTTACGTCAAAGTGACAGTTGAAAAAGTGAGGTTGCATTTGATGTAAACTAAACATTTCTGTGCTTCTACATCTATACCTTATTTAAATCTATAAAATAGATTGTTATGTTCCATACTACTTAAAAAGCGTATTTTTTTGTCTTTAAATTTGTCACTGGGGTACATCTAGAAAACATTTTTTTTTTATATAGAAAGTATCTTTCATTTACCTATTTGACCTTGAAGTAGAATGTATAATAAAATACAAGTTGCAAAAGCCATTCATCCAAGACGATTTCTTGAATGGTCTTCTTTAATATTAATTTTTCTAAATTTCTGCATTTAGGGAATTTTGTGTTAGTTGGTGACACGTAGCATTGTTTTACATAAAGGGATTGGAAAATTCGAACTGACATGTCATTGTGTGTAATCTAGAAATGTATGTTTAAGATTATTTTTTGTACGCATTGTCACCAACATTAAAAACATAAAATACACTAGGCACCCAAAAGTGGTTTTGCGCGGTTACCAAATTGGTGACAAAGTAATATAGAGGGGTGTTTTTATATATAAAAATGTTTTTTTATCCTAATGTCTAATTTTTTGTTGCAAATAAATGTGGGCACATTCTCATATCTCAGTTACTGCTCGCCAAATATTGGTAACTCATCATCCTCACGTGGAGGCGATCTCTTTTGGTTATTTTATTACATTTATGCAGCTGGATAAAACCAGTTAAGCTAATCAATCTTTAATTGATTATCATTGTTGATGTTTGCTTCACCGTGGAATAAATTCTTTGAACAAAATCATGATGTGTGCCATCATATTAATTGTCTAATTAGAGTAGCAATGTTGTGTTGTCCCTAAAAATGTAACAAATATTTACACAATTACGTTGTTGTTATGACGTAATAACACATGCTACCCACGTATATACCTACTAAACAAACCATTTGATTCTTATTAGTTACATTTGGCAATTGCATTCAACTTATGATTTATTAAAACTGATGGCTATAAATCGTGTCATTTGAAACGGAAGTAGATTTGATGGTGTCTAAACAGGATACATTTTTGTTTAATTTCGTCCTTCTTTAGTTCAAGGTTTATGTATGCTATTAGAGTGTGCTTGTCTGCTTTAAATTACTCATCTTATCCTTGGCTCGGGCCAGCCAACTGCCTAATATTGATCCTCATTTCAAAAATTTGCAAAATTTGACACGTTTCATGTTCTATTTGATTATTATTTTTAGTAAAAAACAGTTTTTGATTACGAATGTTCAAAATTACGGTTGATTTATTCTTAGTAGGAAAACACCTATTCATTTTATTGAAATTTTGGCTCTGATTTCTTTTCAAGTTTTTATGACACTTCAACAAACACTTAAAATTTTATAGACTATAGTCAAACTAACTTTAAATTTAGTTCTTATCTTCTTATTTTCTCGGCTTGATTTTTGGTGGTCAACTTATAATTAATTTGTTGTTACGAACAATAATATTAAGGTATCCAGTGTTCTCTGTGTAGTAAAAAAAATCATATACAGGCTGTTCAGGCACCACATTAGAAATATTGGAAGTTCTAACAATGAAATTTATCTAAAATTTAGTCTATAGTCATAATCGGTTAGATCCTGTTCAATGAAAATATTTTTAAGATGGCGTCACTTTCTGTTACGCCGGAAGTGGACATCAACTTTGTTATTGTAAATAGAAAGTTATGTTTTTTATTGCACTATTGGATTACTCAAGTGATTTTGAGAGAATTTTTATTAGCCTTCTCTATACCTAAGTTTAGCCGAAATATTTAGACCTCTTTAAATTTTTTTAGATTTAAATCTTCCTATTCAAAAATCGATAACTCTACCATTTTTTAATATGTTGAAACCGTACTTGGGTATACAAGAGAGAAGGGTTAGATCTTTCCTTTGGTGTATTCATAATTGGAAAAATAATTAACAAACCGCCAAAATGTAAGGTTCAAATACCCTTAACTCAATTTTTCTAAATGAAACACCCCAATTTTTTCTTTGCTGAATAGAGGAGAATTAAGTTCTGCTTCGATCTGTATTAACATTCCCTATACCTATGTTTACTAGTTTTCAAGTTATAGTAACTTCTTTTGATATTGTGAGAAATTCCTTAGCCATAGCTGCTTTAGCACAGGTTGTCATAGAAATAAGAAAAAAGCAGAATATCAAAGTTATTCAAATTTAGATTAAGTAAAATTAATTTGAAAAATAACGCAATTGTGAAAAAAAACTTYGCCATAGCTGCTTTAGCACAGGTTGTCATAGAAATAAGAAAAAAGCAGAATATCAAAGTTATTCAAATTTAGATTAAGTAAAATTAATTTGAAAAATAACGCAATTGTGAAAAAAAACTTGGTGTTTTTTCAGTGAGAAATATTTCCATAGTAAACTATGTAAAAATTAATTTTTTCCATTATAGAAAAAGTTAAAATAACTTGGAAATCATTACATTTAGGTATAGGGAATATTGAAACAGATAGATGCAAAATTAAATTCTTTTTCTAGCGAAGAAAAAATTGAAGCTTTCCATTTGAAAAAATTCATCAGTTACGGGTATTTGGAGTTTCCCAAATGGGTAACCTTAAAATTTGGAGGTTTGTTATTTTTTTTCCAATTATAAATAAACGAAAAAAAGTTTTAACTTTTCTTTTTCATATGTTCAAATACGATTTCAAAATAACAGTTAGATGCAAATTTAAAAAAAATCAAAAAAGTCTAAATATCTAAAAAACGGGGTAAATGTTGATATAGGAAAGTTTGATAAAAACTCTCAAAATCACTTGAATAATCCAAAAACTCAATAAAAAATATAACTTTCTATTGAAAATATCAAAGTTGATACTCATTTTCCATGTAACCGGAAGTGCTGCCATCTTGAAAATATGTCCATTGAACAGGATCTGAGCGATTATGGCTATAATCAGAATTTTAGATAAATATCACTGTTAGATCTCCGAATACTTCTTATGTGGGGTTTAGTCGGAACAGCCTGTATAAACTGAATTCAGAGTAATATTAAAAATAGGAAAATAAATTTGATCAAATCTCGATCAACATTAATTTTTTAATTTACTTATTTCTTTTGGTACAAATTTTTATTTTCAAGTGTAAGAATTCGTGTCGAATGTGAGTTTGTTTGTAAACTAGAACCCAATATATTTATTAACAATTACAATTTGCATTTTAACAATATTTGTACAACTTTGTCATGCATCGAAAGCTTTGTGATTTCGGGGTCCACAACATAATGTTATCAAACAATTCCGTTATGCGTGAATAGATAATATATTGTCGACATATTAATAATTTTCCTATGGAAAATTGGAACACAAATGGTTGCTCTTGACATTGACATATTTATTACCGCATTAATATCAGGCGCCTACACAGCATTATTACCAATACATATACACATTGCAAATATAAGAAGTGTTATTTTAAATCATGAGTCTCTTTGGATTCTTATAAACTATGACCTAATAACGATTTTTTTAGTTATTTTTGGACTTTTTCTCGCTATAGGAAGTTTATGGTAAAGGATCTTGGAATAAATGTGTACCATAAACAGTTTACTGAGGAAATGTTTGCACATTCTTAGTTTTATTTATGATTTCTTATCTAAGAAACAATATATTTTCATTGTTTTATCTAACTACCCGTCGATGACAATCGGCGCATTTTAAATTGTAACTCATCAATCACTGTATGATTCATATACGTAAAGATTTAAAATTAATTCGCAACGGATGTGGGTAGTCGTAAAATTTTCCTTTCAAGTCGACAAATCCATTTATTTTTTAATAGTACCAAAAAAAAATTGGCACTTTGTATGTCCCCGCAAATCTGTTTCAGTAAATTTCCTACATTATTAATAGGATGGGGTTTATGGAAGTAATAACATTTCCAACTAGAGTTTAGATCTAATTATGTAATAAGAGTTTAGTACTGTCGTAATTTTTTTGCATTTTATTTGTCATAATCGTGTGAATTATTCCTCGTGCAGAATTTTATGATACAATTTGGAGGCTGAACAAATTGACCAGAGAACATATAATAAGTAAGTGGTCTCTGCAAAAATTAAAATTGACGACATATAATAAAAAAAGTACTTCAGATTAATTAAAAAAACTCAAAAATTGACCCGAAAACCAAAACTTATTTCTATTTTATCACCGAGTAACATTTTTTTTTCTCAAAACTGAGTCAAAATAATGTTAAGTTACTATAATTCTACTGATTGTAAAACTGAAAATTATCAATCTTGTTAAATTATGATCTAATTTACTACATTACTAAACATTTGATGAGTTCTGTGTTTCTGTTGTTTTTTAGGACACCCGTAGGTATACAGTGTCTCAGAACTCGCGCCTTAGAGAAAAATTTCAAGTAAGATAAGATACTAGGAACATGGAAAAAATGTTTAAAAAATTTTATCTGTCAAAAAATTTTGATATTTATTTTTTGAGATTTGACATTTTTTTATGTCTATTTAATGATACTGATGATCTTGTATATGTTTTTTT